CGACACCACTCCTCTTGGGACGATCCCCGACTCTCACCACACACTCCTCTCGGTGTACAAGTATATTACAAAGTGATTTCACAATTAAGCACAATACAAAGAATGATTGTTCTCTAATATGGATGAGAACACAATAAAAGCTCACACTCAATTATTACAACTCTCACCAACCCAAATATATTATGTATGAAAAATGCAATAAGCTCATGTAGGTGTGTGTAAACAATGAGTGAAATAAAAACAACTAAACTCAAATGTAAATAATAGCTTAATAGAAATAATAATCAACAAATAATTATGAATAAAAGCTAGAATGAGTTTAGAAAAACTTCTCTAGATGATAAGAGAGAGAGAGAGAGAGAGAGAGAGAGAGAGAGAGAGATGGATTGAAGCTCAATGAATTGATCTCCACTTCCTCTTATGGAATTCTTCACAAACCAAACCCTTAAACAAACTTAAAACCAAACTTATACTCTTTTAAAACTTGTTAAAACATTTCTTGGATTGCTTAATAGAACTGAGGTATAAGGGAGTATTTATAGAAACTCCAAAGTCAAGAGAAAGCCAAGAAATGACCAAAAAACCAACTCAGCAACGGCTCTGGAAACTAGCCGTTAGAAAGCAATCATTAGTTCGGCGGGCGACCGCGGAGATCGTTAAAGGCAAAACTGGGCTTTTGAAAAGCTGACGGTCGATCGTGGCGGTCGACCGTGAAACTCTCTGGACTGCATACGGTCGATCGCTACGGTCGACCGTGAGCCAACTAAACTCATACTGAGTTTCTAAACTCAGGGGCGGTCGACCGTGGCGGTCGACCGCAGACTGACACATAGCTGAAATGCAAATTTCTGAATTTAAAATCTTATTTAAAAATATCAAACAAATTCAAAAAAATATAAAACTTTGGGGAATGATTATAGACATGATAATAAACATGCTACAATGATTTGTTTCTAAAAAGGACTTCCCAAAAGAAAAATATCATTATTTTACAAAATAGGCTAAAACATAAAAATGTAATCATGTGAATTTTGACATTTTGGCTAAAACATGTTTTGAAACTTTACACAATGATTATGTAGACTTAATAAAATATGTATATGATTATTGTTAAGTCCAAAAACTAAGAATACAATATATTTACAAATACAATAGAAAATAAAACATATGAGTATGTATATGAAAATATATTTGTTTCATATCTAAGTAGTTAAACCAAATCACAATAATAAATATGAAATATGTAATTTCATATTTGTAAACATGAAAACCCAAAACCATGTATGTATATTTATAACTATATATATACGTAGAAACCAAATACGTGTGTGTGTATGATATTGAGCTTAAGGTACTTAACATACATAATATAAAACCTAAACTAAGTTACCCAAGCTAGATCTTGATCTTCAATAAGCTCGACTTGGTACACTTGTGGATGAAGCTTAAACTTGGATCTTGAACTTGAATTGTACATAGCTTCACCTACTATTCCGCCAACCTCCATTAGATATTATCGTTGAAGCTCTATTCCATCCATCCTCCAACAAATTGTTTGCCTAGAATAAATACGAAAACACAAATACTAGACAAACAATATTAGAAGTAAATTGTTTGTTAAACATCATCAAAACAAAGAGGCCAACACATCTCTGTCATCGTCATATTATCAATGTGTGGTTGGATTGATTAGTGGTAGATATATGGAGTGGATCGATGACGGTGGTGAGCTGTGGGTTTCTGAGGTTGAAGAGATGTCATTGTCAGTCAACGATGAAAGATCAGTGTCGAGTGGTGGTTGATGGTGCAAGATTTGTGGTCGAATGTGCGGATGGCGGCATTGCCCGGTCGGGGGCGATGTGGACCATAGTTGAGTGACTAGGTGCTAGGGTGCTGGAGTGTTAGACCGTTACGCGGTCGACCACTGTGGTGCGGTACGTGGACACTGGGGTGCTGCTACGTTGTGGTACAGTGCGGTACGTGGGTCGACAATGCTGGTTTGGTCAGTGATCGATGGTGGATTGAGCATGGTCGAGTGGGTGAACCGCAAACAGGCAACGTGGGATTGAGCGGCATAGTTCGACAGTAGCTCAAATATGGTCGAGCAGGGCACTACAGACTGAAAATGTTGGACCGAGCAGTGTGGGCGACAAGGTGGCCGCGTGAGCAGGCTAGGGTTTTGCTCGAGCGAAGGGGTTGTGATGCGGAGATTTTTTGATCATGGGAATCTTGTGATTATGAGATTTGTGATCATAAATTTCTCTGCGTGATTCACGTATGGGTCCCACATAAGTGGGTTTGAATTTGTGGAGTTATGATTGGTGGAGAGAATTGATTGGACTCTAATACCTTGTTAAATACAGATCAAATCAAGAGAAAATGATATTAAAACCTCTTCTCTTGCTTTTGTAGTTAAACACTTCAGTGCAATGAATAAAATAGTCTATTTTCTCCCAAAAGCTCTATTATTAACATAAATAACCTTATTATGAATACTTATTATTATCAATGATCATGTAGAAAGAACTATTCTAGTAATAATCATGAATAGAATAGAGCTTGTCTATTTTCTCCCAAAAAATGCCTAATAACTATATTTAACACCCTGGTCAAACTCAGCGTGACAATCAATGAGTAGAATTTCATATAGTGAGATCATGTTATTGTAGCGGTGAGATCATGTTATTGGCATGACTTGGTGAGAAGTGGTTAAAGCACATCAATGAGTATAATTGCATATAGTGAGATCATGTTATTGTAGCGGTGATCGACGGTCACGCATGGCGGTCGCGATAGGGAGGACCTACAGTCATGGGAGAAAGCGTGACGATTGGACATTGCAAGTGGCAAGGTATGGGGTTGCAATAGTGATCGGTGGTCACGTACAGTGGTCACGAGAAGGAGGACCTGTGGTCACAAGATGATGCACGGTGACTAGATCTTGCAAGTATCAGTGAGTGGAAAGTGCTTGGCTGGGGAGAGCTTGGCTAGATGCTGGCTAAGGAGCGAGAAATCTTGCTAAGGTAATTCGTCGAACATCATGTGTGCATTCAATGAATAGTTTATGTAATTACACTAATCGGAGTAGCGGTGTTGTTGGTAGGTAGAGGTTTGCAGTGAAGGAATTGCTAGGGCTTTGTAAGGTGAGAGATCGCAGCGGTAAGGTTTGGATAAGGGTTGAAGCCGCAAGGACGATAATGATCATGGGGTCTGAGTTGTATGATCTTTCGGAGCTATCGACGATGATGAGGGTTATCGTTAGCAGTAGCGGCGGCCAAGAAGAGGTTGCTGTCAAAGTTGGTACTGAAGCAACGAGGTTCAGGATGAATAGTTTCTCCATCTGCGGATGAACAATACCCACAGATGAACAAGGTCATTCGACAAAGGTTAGGGCTAGCGTTTTGCAGTGAGCAGATGACAGTGAGAGGTTGTGAGCGATGGTGTGGTGTATTAAGGTTGAATCCCCTATTGAGGCCGCCGAGGGAAGCGTGGAGTTTTTGGCAAAACCCTCTTGGCGGCTCGATGTAGAGGAAGAAGAAAGAGATCTCCTAGGATCAAGAGGACAGTTCTGATACCATGTTAAGAATAGAAGTTTTGGGAGAAAAGAGACTATTTTATTCATTACACTAAGCTGTTTAAATACAAGAGTAAGAGAAGAGGTTTTAGTATCCTAAGTGATGTCGGACTAAAAGAAAGAGATAAAATATGCCTAATAACTATATTTAACAATATATAGTTTAACTAACAGTTATTCTTTTATTAGATTTATTAACTTTATATAATTAGCAATTAATATTGATAGGCTTTAAAATATATAAATGGAGGTATCATCATATCATCAAAATACATTCTTATATACTAGTCAATTATTCCAAATTATCCCACATCATTTTACAAAGATATCTCGTTTGTAAAAAGGTTATCCACCATTATCCCATTAAAATACCCAACTTGCATAAACTTATCTCAATTGAACAATTATCTCAATTGTACTTGAAAGACCCGTTTGGCAAAGGGTTAATGAAGAGGGATTAAGAAGAATGATTAACATAGTTAGCCCATTCGATAATCTGAAAGACTAAATTATTAACCCATCATATAAGTTTTATTTTAACTCTTATAATCATTTTTAGTGTTTGGGAATAACAAGGATTTTAACTATTTTTTTATAATTAGAGGGGTTAGCTCTTAATCCTTCTAAATAGGAGTATTAGTAAACTCCTCATTTTGAGGGGTTAACTCATTTTAATCCATCTAGAGGGGTTAGTTTAACCTTTCTATATATTTTGTGTTTGGTTAATTATAGATGGTTAACTTACTTTAATTCTTATATAGATTTTTTGTGTTTGATGGGTTAAGAAGGGGTTAAGTCTCCTTAACCTCTCACTTAACCTTTTTTCAAACGACACCGAAAAGTTCTTGCTGACTATCACCCCTTAGTGTAAAATCCTTCAAAATACATGAGGGTTTTGTGAAGATAACCCTAGCATCTAGTTACGAGAAACCAGGGTCCTTTATATCCTTGGTCATAGAAAAACTCTACAACTAATTAATAACTTCTCTTCATTTTATGAGTCCAATAAATAAATGATATTAAATAAATAAATTCTATAAAAACTCTCTTAGCTCGTGGTGCCCATTTGAATATTAACACAATTGATCTATAAGAGACGTGGAGCATCTAAGAAATTTTCCAATATAAAAAGACTCATTTGATAAGCCTCTTGCACTGTTATCCCATGTATAGTAAGTCCCAAAAACACGCTTTTCATGTGAAAAGTTTCCTTTTCAGTTGCTTCCCCATCAAAATAAGAAAATATCATTTTTTTATTCCCAAATCACCCCCACCCTCAACCTATCATCTTTCTTTTTGTTTCTCATGAAACCATAAATTATTTTTCTTATTTTCCTACTTCTTCTCAACTATTATCTTTTTCACTGTCACCTTTCCTATTGTATTCTCTTTCTCCTCTTTTTCAATTATTTCTCAATCACAGCACCTTCTTCGCCATTTCGCATCTATTCTTAACCACCTCTCTTCCTTCCACAACCGCTGTCGCTATCACTCAAAGTCAAAGGTCATCACCTTTGACTTAAACGGACCATCTCCTAAAATCATATCGAAATTAACACGTAATAGATAGATTTACTATCCAATAGTTAATACCTAATGATTAATCTTAACACCTAATAGTTAAACTTAAGATTGATATTTTAAGGTTAGCATGTAACATCTAATATTGTTATTCTGAATGACGAATCTAAGTAGTGCCTAGTGGGTGTTACAATGAATTTGAAAATCCTAATAGACAGTGTTGGGGGAGAAATCAGGCCTAATTTAGAGTTAATGAGTTTTAAACAGAAGTTATGAATTAATTTTAACTAAAAAGCTATAACTATTAGGTATTGACCAAAACTCCTATTTAAACTCATCACCCTTTCTTATCTTATTTGATGTGGGACTATGCTCACATATTAATCAACTTAACAACTCTCCCTTAATTTGTGAGTATAGTTCAATTCAACTATAATTCAATCTTCCACGGTATTCATTATGTTTTGCACCACTTCACTCATGAGCTAACCAATTCACAAACTTTTGCACCACTTCACTCGTGGGCTAACCAGACCATGTATTCATTACATAGTTATCAAACATCTGTAGGAACTTTGACCACTTCACCTATGGTGGCTAACTAGACTATATCACTCCTACAGGCATCTGTGGATTCTTCAAACACCTTCGGGCTTCATATCGAAGATCATCTATTTTTTCTTAAATTATTTGGACCATGGCTTTAGCTCTGATACTATTTGTTTGGGGAGAAATCAGGCCCAATCTAGAGTTGATGAGTTTAAACAAAAGTTAGGAATCAATTTTAACTAAAAAGCTATAACTATCAGGTATTGACCCAAACTCGTATTTAAACTCATCGCTATTTCTTATCTTATCTGATGTGAGACTATACTCACATATTAATCACCTTAACGGACAGGTCACAATAGATGATTTGGACCTACAAATATAGTCAACAATAGGTATATGGGTGGAAAAAATCATGGAAGCCCCACTGTTTGATATGTAAAATTCGATTATTTTGTATAAAAAGAGATAATAAACTTAAAACTATAAAAAGAGATACTGAATAATTTATTTCTGTGTCATCCTCACTGGCAGATTTATATCAATTTTCGATCCGTTTTCTAAAAAAACAGGGAAATATATTCTATAAAGCCTTTTAACTTTCACCTTTTTTAAAGAAGCCCCTAACCTTTTTTCCATAACAAAGAAGCCCCTGTTTTTTTACTTCCGACTTCTCCTTTAGCTCTTAGCCGTTATGTTTAACTTTCATAGGGATATATTTATGAAAAGAGATTAAATACCTACGGCAAACCCTTAAACGCAGAGTAGCGTGAAATTAGAATTTTCTCCAATGCTCGACAGAATGAAAAGTAACGACGTTGCCGGTCTCCTCCTCCTTTTTCATCAACTCAGACCGCACAAGTCCTTGTCCTCCTTGTCTACTTACAGCCATGTTGGACATTAATTATTCACTGTAAATACGTACTATAGATGAAGCAAAAGAATCATACGAGGCTCCTCCGGTCTATCTTGTGCGTTTGATGGATGCACAGGCATGATGTTATTTGATGCTGTTACTAAGACTAAAAATTCTTGTTGTAAAATAAATAAATAAATAAATAAATAACAACCTGACTAGCCAAATCTTCTTTCCAAAAGCTTTGATGGACTTTTTGATATGTATTCAAACTTCAAGAACTTAAACGTGTTCATGATGATGTAATCGGCTTCGAGTTTAATTGACCTCCTCACATATCCTTATCGATCTTTCCATACCCGGGTGGCGTAAAGAACCATGGTGCTTGAACCTCGGTGATAACAGTTTAGGACAAATTTTTGAAAACAACTGTTTTACAAAATTAATGAGCAAAATCGACCTCTTCATAAAATAAATAGCAAAATCGACTCTTCTCTTAGAAAAAGGGTCGATTTTGATTGGAATTTTTTCAAACGATTTCGTATATACATCACACCCGTGAGTCGTGACCCCATCCCTCCCTCAAATAGATCTCGCAACTCTGGACCCCTCTTTCCTCCCCCAAATCTCGCGCCCCCTCTCCATCGCCTCCCTCCCTTTCCTTTCCCGCGCCATTGCAGCTCCAGGCCTCCACCACTGCCGATGTCAAATTGAGAAAGGGATCAAAGTCGTCCACGAGAGAGCACCAGTTCTCCAAGTATACGAAGCGTCTGCTTGCG